GGGCGGTGTCACGCGTGTTGGCGAGGTAGGCGAGGCAACGGTCGACCTCGCGCCAGTGCTGGTCGCTCCTAATCGTGAGGCTGCTCCCCAGCTTGCTGCAAGCGAAGGCGATGTCCGGCCTCGTCGTCGTCGCCGCGAACTGCAGCGAGCCGACCTTCTGCCGGTACTCCTCCTCCTGCCGTTCCTGCGCCTCCTCATCGTCGAAGGTGAGCTCGGCGTAGGCGCCGACCGAGACCGGCGTCTTCGGGGTGCGCCCGGTCTGCTCCTCGTCGATGAAGCGCCTACGCAGCTTGTCGGCGTAGCCCTGCTGTTGCAGCCACAGCTTCCCCGCCGACCTGTCGCGCATGATCTCCAGCCCGAGGTACTTCTGCACCGGCGAGATCTCGCGCAGCTCGAAGACGGCTTCCAGCAGCTCCTTCAACTCCTTAAGCATCGCGGCGCTGCTGCTGGCGGCAAGCAGGTCGTCGACGTATACCAGCACCCAGCAGGCCACTTCACCCTCGCCAACCTTGAAGTAGAGAGCCTCGTCGACCTGGCTCTTCTTCCACCCGGCGCTGACCAGCACATCGTTGAGCGCCAAGTACCACAATAGCGGCGACTGCTTCAGCCCGTACAGGCTCTTCAGCAGCTTGCACACCCGGCCCGAACCTTCATTGAAGTAGTCCGGCTGGGACATGTACAGCACCCGATCGAGCTTGCTCTGCAGGAAGGCGTTCTTCATGTCGAGCTGCATCAGGTTGAGGTTGAGGACGGAGACGATGCTGAGGAAGATCCTCAGCGTAACGTAGCTGCCCACCGGCGCGAACGTCTCGTCGTAGTCGGCGCCGTACACCTGTGTGAAGCCCTTCACGACAAGCCTCGCCTTCTCACGCTCGACGGTGTCGTCGAATGGTACTTCGTCGTCAACACCCACCGGTTATTCATGACGTTCACCCCCGATGGGCGTTCGACCAGCTCCCAAGTGCCCATGTTGATAAACACATGATGAGAGGGATAAACACATGATGAGAGGGATAAACACATGATGAGAGGGATAAACACATGAGAGGGATAAACACATGAGAGGGATAAACACATGAGAGGGATAAACACCTGAGAGGGATCAAGAGAGGGATAAACCCATGAGAGGGATAAACACATGAGAGGGATAAACACATTAGAGGGATAAACACATGAGAGGGATAAACACATGAGAGGGATAAACACATAATGAGAGGGAAAAACACATGAGAGTGATAAACACATGAGAGGGGTAAACACCTGAGAGGGATAAACACATGAGAGGGGTACACACATGAGAGGGATAAACACATGAGAGGGATAAACACATGATGAGAGAGATAAACACATGAGAGGGATAAACCCATGAGAGGGATAAACTCATGAAAGGGATAAACACATGAGAGGGATAAACACATGAGAGGGATAAACACATGAAAGGGATAAACACATGAGAGGGGTGAACACATGAGAGGGATAAACACATGAGAGGGATAAACACATGTTGAGAGGGATAAACACATAACAAGGACAAACACCTGAGAGGCGTAAACACATGAGAGGGATAAACACATGAGAGGGATAAACACATGAGAGGGATAAACACAAGAGAGGGATAAACACATGAAAGGGATAAACACATGAGAGGGATAAACACATGAGAGAGATAAACACATGAGAGGGATAAACATTTGAGAGGGATGAACACATGATGAGAGGGATAAACACATGCGAGGGATAAACACCTGAGAGGGGTAAACACATGAGAGGGATAAACACATGAGAGGGATAAACTTATGAGAGGGATAAACCCATGGGAGGGATAAACTCATGAAAGGGATAAACTCATGAGAGGGATAAACACATGATGAGAGGGATAAACACATGAGAGGGAAAAACACATGAGAGGGATAAACACATGAGAGGGATAAACACATGAGAGGGATAAACACATGAGAGGGATAAACACATGAGAGGGGTAAACACCTGAGAGGGATAAACACATGAGAGGGGTACACACATGAGAGGGATAAACACATGAGAGGGATAAACACATGACGAGAGAGATAAACACATGTAAGGGATAAACCCATGGGAGGGATAAACACATGAGAGGGATAAACCCTTGTGAGGGATAAACCCATGAAAGCGATAAACACATGAGAGGGATAAACACATGAGAGGGATAAACACTAGAGAGGGATAAAGCCATGAGAGGGATAAACCCATGAGAGGGATAAACACATGAGAGGGATAAATACATGAGAGGGATAAACACATGAGAGGGACAAACACATGCGAGGGGTAAACACATGCGAGGGATAAACCCATGAGAGGGATAAACACATGAGAGGGAAAAACACATGATAGGGGTAAACACATGACATAGATAAACACATGAGATGAGAGGGATAAACACATGAGAGGGATAAACACATGAGAAGGATAAACACACGAGAGGGATAAACACATGAGAGGGATAAACACATGAAAGGGATAAACACATGAGAGGGATAAACACACGAAAGGGATAAACACATGAGAGGGGTAAACACATGAGAGGGATAAACACATGAGAGGGATAAACACATGAGAGGGATAAACACATGAGAGGGATAAACACATGAGAGGGATAAACACATGAAAGGGATAAACACATGAGACGGATAAACACATGAAAGGGATAAACACATGAGAGGGGTAAACACATCAGAGGGATAAACACATGAGAGGGGTAAACACATGAGACGGATAAACACATGAGAGGGGTAAACACATGAGAGGGATAAACACATGAGAGGGATAAACACATGATGAGAGGGATAAACACATGGGAGGGGTAAATACATGAGAGGGATAAACACATGAGAGGGATAAACACATGATGAGAGGGATAAAAACATGAGAGGGATAAACACCTGAGAGGGATAAAAACATGAGAGGGGTAAACACATGAGAGGGATAAACAAATGAGAGGGATAAACACATGAGAGGGATAAACACATGAGAGGGATAAACACATGAGAGGGATAAACACATGAGAGGGATAAACACATGAGAGGGATAAACACATGAAAGGGATAAAGACATAAGAGGGAAAAACACATGAAAGGGATAAACACATGAGAGGGGTGAACACATGAGAGGGATAAACACATGAGAGGGATAAACACATGAGAGGGGTACACACATGAGAGGGATGAACACATGAGAGGGGTACACACATGAGAGGGATAAACACATGAGAGGGATAAACACATAAGAGGGATAAACACATGAGAGGGATGAACACATAAGAGGGATGAACCCATGAGAGGGATAAACACATGAAAGGGATAAACACATGAGAGGGATAAACACATGATGAGAGGGATAAACACATGAGAGGGATAAACACCTGAGAGGGATAAACACATGAGAGGGGTAAACACATGAGAGGGATAAACACATGAGAGGGATAATTACATGAGAGGGATAAACACATGAGAGGGATAAACACCTGAGAGGGATAAACACATGAGAGGGATAAACACAAGAGAGGGATAAACACACGAGAGGGATAAACACATGAGACGGATAAACACATGAGAGGGATAAACACATGAGAGGGGTAAACACATGAGAGGGATAAACACATGAGAGGGATAAACACATGAGAGGGGTAAACACATGAGAGGGGTAAACACATGAGAGGGGTAAACACATGAGAGGGATAAACACATGAGAGGGATAAACACATGAGACAGATATACACATGAGAGGGATAAACACATGAGAGGGGTAAACACATGAGAGGGGTAAACACATGAGAGGGATAAACACATGAGAGGGATTAACACATGAGAGGGATAAACACATGAGAGGGATAAACACATGAGAGGGATAAACACATGAGAGGGATAAACACAAGAGAGGTATAAACCCATGAGAGGGATAAACACATGAGAGGGATAAACACATGAGAGGGATAAACACATGAGAGGGATAAACACAAGAGAGGGATAAACACACGATGAGAGGGATAAACACATGAGAGGGATAAACACATGAGATGGATCAACACATGAGAGGGATAAACACATGAGAGGGATAAACACATGATGAGAGGGATAAACACATGAGAGGGTAAACTTATGAGAGGGATAAACATATGAGAGGGATGAACACCTATGTTGCGCCTGACGCCCTGGAAGGGCAGCGTCCAGCGTCCGGACGTTCACGTCCGGACGCTGGACGTGTAAAGTCGGTTTGACGCTGAACGTCCGGACGCTGGACGTGTAAAGTCGGTTTGACGCTGGACGTTCGGAGAAATTTTTTCGGGCAGCCCGAAAAAAATGTTGTTTTTCCCCGCACGAAATTGACTCGCGATTTCATCGCGACCAGCATTGCAATGAAATTGCCAACTGGGGGCCACGTTTTTGACTTAAAAAAACACAACCCTCATTTATTCCCCCCCACACATTTGTACCCATCCACATCTACTTCTCCCAACCAGGTCGACCCCCAACTAAACTAGAGAAACTGATCTAGGTCGACATTACACAGATCTGTTTTTCTCCACATTGCCAAGCATTCCTAGAATCCGCCATTCACGCTACTAAGCCTTCCTATCTAAAACTAGGTTAAGGCGAGTAATCATGTCAACTCCTAGTCCCGCCGGTCATTCTGCTAGTGCCTCCACACCTTCTGCCGGTGGTGTGGAGGGAGAACGCCAGTACGACGAAATGCCTAACCATCCCGTGTACAAGCATTTTGATTTTACGTTAAGCACCCCACCAAAGGCAGAATGGCGAAATGCCGTTATTGCCCGAAAGAGTTCGTTTCCAGTAGCACGCATTGCACCGCTCATCTTGCTGATTGGGAGGGGAAGAAGGGTCACGACATTACATTACTGTGTGCCCGGACCGGATGCGCCAAAAGAGGTAGTAGAGAGCATTCGCACATTGCAGGAGGGAAAATGTAGGAAGCAGTTGGAGAAAAACCGGGCGGAGGCGGCGGCCATGGATGCGGTGAGTGGCAAAACCAGCAGCGGGGTGGGTTCTAAGAGAGGGCGCATGTCAGATTTCTATGGGGCGGAGGGGTCAGTTGCTAGGCGTGTGGCGGATGATGCCATATGTCTTTATTTCGCAGCATTGGGCGTTCCCGAAAACCAAGCCGACAACCCTCTTTTCCGCAACATGATAAGGGCAGTTGCAGCAGCGGGTGGTAGCTATGTCCCTCCGAAGAGAAAGTACGTGGGCGGGGCTGGACTGCAGCGGACTCGTAAAAGGATTGAGGAGGGGTTGGATTCCGTGGTTATGAAGTGGCCAGAGAAAGGTGTCACCATCGCTAGTGACATGATGAGTGACAGGAATGGGCGTGCGCAGGCGAATTTCCTTTGCGTCAACGAAGATGGAGCTGTGTTTATGGAGAGTGTTGACTGCGGGATGGAGCGGAAAACAGGCGGTTGCATTGCTAGCCTCATCCGGCCAGTCATAATGAAGGTGGGGTCGGAAAATGTCGTTGCACTATGCATGGATGGAGCGAGCAACTACGCAGCCGCGACCCAAGAGATTGTGAAGGAACGGCCGCACATTGAGATTGTGAAGGAACGGCCGCACATTGAGATTGTGAAGGAACGGCCGCACATTGAGATTGTGAAGGAACGGCCGCACATTGAAATTGTGAAGGAACGGCCGCACATTGAAATTGTGAAGGAACGGCCGCACATTGAAATTGTGAAGGAACGGCACATTGAGATTGTGAAGGAACGGCCGCACATTGAGATTGTGAAGGAACGGCCGCACATTGAGATTGTGAAGGAACGGCCCCACATTGAGATTGTGAAGGAAAGGCCGCACATTGACATTGTGAAGGAACGGCCGCACATTGAGATTGTGAAGGAACGGCCGCACATTGAAATTGTGAAGGAACGGCCGCACATTGAAATTGTGAAGGAACGGCCGCACATTGAGATTGTGAAGGAACGGCCCCACATTGAGATTGTGAAGGAACGGCTGCACATTGAAATTGTGAAGGAACGGCCGCAAATTGAGATTGTGAAGGAACGGCCGCACATTGAGATTGTGAAGGAACGGCCGCACATTGAGATTGTGAAGGAACGGCCGCACATTGAGATTGTGAAGGAACGGCCGCACATTGAGATTGTGAAGGAACGGCCGCACATTGAAATTGTGAAGGAACGGCTACAGTATACCCTCTTGGGTGACCATCACGTCTATCCTTTTGGGTCTTCCTCGGTCTTACGACACGCTTACTGAAACGCTTTGCTCGGTCAAAGAAATAAAGGATATGACCCTTGAGTGGCTCGAGGAACGTCTCGTGGATGCTGAGTGGGACCGTGCAACAAAGAATTCGTCGCTCCCTGCGGATGGTGCTTATGTCGTTCAACCTGGACCCTCCAAGCCTCATTCCAGCACCTCTACCACTTCCTGCCGCTATTGCAAGGCTGCTGGTCACGCCATCACCACTTGCCCTCAACTCGAAAAGAAGAAGCGCAGGCAGCAACTACAGCAACAGCACCAATCGCCATACCTGCCGCAGTCTACATACCAGCCACAGTCGCAACCGTACCAGCCCCAACAGCCACAGCAGATGCCGTTCCGTTCCCTCTCTCAAAGCTCGCCCAACAAGGCAGCTGCACACACCGCCCTCCCACCTCTGGCATATCCTGCCCACCTGGCCCAGCCTCTCCTTCCCTCTCCTACCTCTGACGTTACCTCACCAGCACTCGCGGCTTCTCATTTGTCATCCACGCCACTGTCATCTTCGATTGATTCTCGCTATGCCGATGTCGCCGCCGCGCACTTACTCCCTACCTCTTGGCTGCCGTCCCTCCCATCGCTACTACTCCTCATCTCCTTTCTCCTCTGCCTTTTCTCCATCCTGCTCCAGTGGCCTCTCGCCTCCGTCCTCACCAGCTCTCCTTCTTCCTCCTCCTGGCTCCTTGACTCCGGCGCATCCTCGCATCTCTGCAATGATCCTCATCTATTTTCCTCCCTTCGTCAACCATTTCCTGGTAGTGGCGTCCGGTTTGGTGGTGGGGAGCAGTACCCTGCCCACGGCATTGGGGACATTTTTGTCTACGCCCGTCACAACAACCATACCCATCCTATCACCCTGAAGGATGTCCTATACATTCCCCAGACTGTTCATAATATCATCTCTGTTCGTAAGCTGAAAGACGAAGGACTCACTACCCACTTCCCTCGTCATGCTCCTGCCCAAGTGTTCCGAGGCTCCACGGTTCTTGCTGTCGCCCATGAGCACATGAAGCTGTTCTTCGTTTCTCTCAGCCCTGCCTCATCTTCGCAGCCGGCCACGGTCTCAACTGCATCAGCACCTCCTCCTCTTGTTCCCGCATCCTGCTCTGCAGCTTCATCTCTTCTTTGGCATCGGCGATTCGGACATCTCAACGGACATAGCTTGAAGCAGCTTCATTCCAAACAGATGGTCAGCGGCATCAGCCTCAACGGTTCTCTACCTTTCACCTGCATTTCGTGCCTTCGTGGGAAGCAAACCCGCCAGTCATTTCCAGACTCTACCTCGTCCAGCTCAGCCCCACTTGACCTGGTTCACACTGATGTCGCTGGACCATTTCCCATCGGCACCACGTTTGGCGGCGCCACCTATCTCCTCACATTCATTGACGATTACAGTCGCTATACCACTGTCTACCTTCTCAAATCCCGCTCTGAAGTCTTTAGCACATTTCAGCGCTATCTCGCCCAAGCCGAAAGCCACTGCAAGACACATCTCAAGGTCTTGCACTCCGATGGCGCCCCGGAATATCTTTCCGACGCTTTTCAAGCTTTCGTCGCTTCGCGTGGCATCACCCGACAGGTCTCTACACCATACACCCCGCAACAAAATGGTGTCGCTGAGCGGATGAATCGCACCATCCTTGACATGGTGCGGTGCATGTTACATGACAGCGGTCTTCCTCGTGGGTGGTGGGGAGAAGCAGCCCTTACTGCTGCATATATTCGCAATCATTCTCCTTCTCGCTCACTCCCTCGCGATGTCACGCATATGGAATTATGGACAGATCAGCGGCCGGACGTCACCCGTTTTCGCATGTTTGGATGCCCTGTCTCCGTGCTTCTACCTACTTTTTATCGAGAATCCAAGTTACATGACCGCAGTGCTCCCGGCATCTTCCTCGGCTATGGTCTCCTTGATGGATACAAAGCATATCGCGCTTATATCCCCTCCATCCGCCGGGTTGTCTACTCTCGGGATGTCACATTCCTTGAAACCTCCCCCTCAATCAACTCCCCCTCACCCGCCACCACCTCTACCATCACCCCCTATTCCCGCACCTGTCACTTTGTCACTTCACCCGCCTTCCCAACCTACCTCCTCACCAGACCCTATCAATCCTCCTCCGCTGCCTGCTACACACGCAGAAACCTCTCCCTCTGCTACTCCGTCTGCACCTCTCTTTCCCACACTCCCCACCCCTCCCTTCCAGCCTTTCACCCTTCCCACTTCCCTTCAGAAGCCAGCCTCCACACCTACTTCCTCACCTCTTCTATTTCCTCCTCTTCCAACCCCGACTGCCCAAGACTTTCTGCTCAACTTCTCTGACCCCTCTGTTAACACCATCCTTGACGAAGATCGCGAGTCAGCCCATTTATTTCACAACTTGGCCCATTGGCTTCAAACTTCGTGACCTTGGCCCATTAACTTATTACCTCGGCCTCCACTTAGACCGCGACCGCTCTTCTCGGACCCTCCTCATCCACCAGTCCAAATTTATTACTACGCTCCTCTCTACCTTCAATCTCAGCCACGCCAACCCCAGCCACACCCCCATGGACTCTAAGCTCCTCCTTCCAACACGCTCCTTATTGCCACCCTCTGAACCCTTCCCATATCCCTCTTTGGTCGGCTCTCTCATGTACGCAATGGTTGCCACTCGCCCTGACATAGCCCATTCTACTGGACTCCTTTCACGTCACCTCCATTCTTGGTCGGATCCTCATTGGCTGGCTGTTACACGTGTTCTCCGTTACCTCAACGGGAGCTCTTCCCATGGGCTGCTTCTTGGTGGCAATCCCGCCTCCCTCTAGCTGGTCGGGTATTGTGATGCCTCATGGGCTTTCGAAAGTGAGGATCGTCGTTCCCTCCCTGCATACCTGTTTTTTCTGGGACCTTCTCTGATTTCTTGGCAATCCAAGCAGCAATGTGTAGTTGCGACATCCTCTTGTGAAGCTGAATACTACGCGCTCGGTGCGGCAACCCACGAAGCCCTTTGGCTCCGTACTCTCCTCTGCTCTCTCGGCCTTCCCCCCACTGGTCCCACCCCGCTGCTCTGTGACAACACTAGCGCCATTGTCTTGGCAAAGGACGCTGGTGTTTTCCATGCCCGTGCCAAACACATCGACATCCGCCACCATTTCCTCCGTGATCATGTTGACAAAGGGCATATCTCGCTGCACTACATCCCTAGCCGTGATAACCTTGCTGATTTGGGGACCAAGCCTCTCCCTCGTGACACACTTCAGCGTCTACAGTCCTGCATCGGCCTTCGCCCTGCTACTTCTTCTTTGATCTCTCCCTCGATGTCAGCCTAAGGGGGGGTGTTGTTAAGTACTTATTTTCCTTTAAATATGCTGAAGGTTAGTTCACTAGTTTGTTTTATGGTTTGTATGTATTTGCTTACATTATAATAGTGTAGACAATAGGGGTTGGGTTATATTAGTTATAGGGTGCCCCCTGAGTGACTTTATCAAGTGCTAGGCACCCCAAATTCGGCTTTGGGGTACCCCAGCACGTTTCCCATCCTTGGGGACGCGGCTCCAGCCTGGACCCACGAATTTCAACATTGGAAACGCGGCTCCAGCTTGGAATTCGCGTTTCCAATTCGTGGAATCGCGGTTCCACTAGAGGGGGCGCTTCCAGGCCCACTTTGAGGGTCCCTCACGTCCCCATCTTGACTGTGGGCCTATGTTGGAAAAGTCGCGCCCAGCGCATTATACGCAAGCGTATATACGCTTGCGTATAGTGCGTTATGCGCTTCGTGAGTGACTTTGAAAGTCGCAGAAAGTACGCTGCCCGGGCAGCAAAAGGTTTTTACCGGGCAGACGAAAAAAACCGCCGAAGGAGGGGGGGGGGAGTGGTGGTTTTACCGAATTTCATATATGCCAAAAACCTTACATTCTCAACTACTCTAAGCAAGCAACATGCATCTCTCCTACCCCACCCCCTACTCCCACCCTCTACTCCCCCCGTCCCTTCCTTCCTCCCTCCTCTACTTGTACTCATCCTCTAGCTCATCCTCCTCCCCCTCCTCCTCATCCTCCTCCAAAACCTCGTTGTACCCTTCCGGCAGGGAGGCCTCAGGGATGTTCCCCGGGAGAACCGTCACCCCCTCAGCCCCCTTGTGCCAGTTGCGCACAATGTTCCAATTGTGCGCAACATACACGAGGTCCCGACACTTCTCGGACCCCAACCTGTTGCGCTTGGCAGTGTGGATCGATTCCCACACTGCCCAGTTCCTCTCACACGCCGATGCGGACACTGGCTGAGAGAGAACGCGGCAAGCGAGCGTTGTTAGCTCGGGGTGCTCCGTCCCGTGCCACGTCCACCACTGGACGGGCGTCTTCTTACCGGCCTTCACGAGCTCACGGTCAGAGATGGCGTCGGGTACGCCGAAGCTCCCCTGAAGGGTGTTGAATGCCGTCAGGCCGTCCTGGATGACGTGGGATGCGCGCAGCTCCTCGCCCTCCTTGCGCGTGACGGTCCGCCCTGCGTAGTGACGAGCGACAAACGCTTTGAAGACGCGAGTACACTCCAGGTCGGTGCGGAAGATGCCTTCCTCTTGGTTGACCGGGTTGAGGATCCGGCCAACCACGTGCATGGCACACGCCATGCTATGGTCCCAGCGCTTTTGGACGATGTTGGTCACCTCCGTGCGTTCGCTGCTGGACAGCACCAATCCCGCCTCCTCCTCCAGCTTCGCATTGATGTCTTCCGTGAGCTGCAGCATCAGATCGTACATCCTGCCCATCATGCCCTTGGCCGTCGAGTCAGTCTTTCGCATGACGGCAAAGGGGATCTTCAGGAGGGCGACGAAGAACTCCGCACCTTTCCACCACACGGCATCCATGATCATGGTTGCGAAGGGCTCGACCGGAGGCTTCCTCCCCTTCGCCCAAGCCTGCCACTCTGGGCTGAGCACCATCTGCGTCAATGCACTCCGCACCTCGCAAAGCCGCTGCACCGCGATGAATTGCGTGCCAAATCTGGTGCCCGCCGGCTTCAGCACCTGCTTCCCCTTCCCTCCCTTCACCTGCGGGCTTCGCATGTAACCTTTGGTGAAATGGTGGGCACGCACAAAGGTAATAATCATCCCCGCCTTAGCCACAATGTCCTTCGCCCAATCCATTTTCCCAATGTCCTCCATGAGCAGATCCATGACGTGAGTAGCGCACGACACATGCTCAATGTGAGGATACTCAAGCATGAGTTCCCTACATGCAGCCGCATAATTGCTGCCCCCATCCATGCATAACGCAACTATGTTGGCGGGCCCCACCTTCTCAATGATCGGGCGCAAAACGGATGCAATGTAACCTCCCGTCTTCATCTCCAACTTACAATCGATGCTTTCGGTGAACACTGCACCGGAATCGTTGATGAGCAGGATGTTGGCTTGGGGATGGCCACTTTTGTCCGTCATCATGTCCGAGCCTATCGTCACGCCATCCCGCTTCCAGCTCGTAGTGATGGGAGCGAGCCCCCTCTCGATCTTTTCGCGGCAGCGCGCAAGGCCGGCGCCACCAACATACCGCCGCTTCGGGGGAACGTAGCCATGGCCCGCGTCCGTGATGCAGCGCACAGCGTTGTGTCGCATGACTCTTGCGAATGAGTTCACAAAAGTTCATGAGACAGCTCCTAAGGTGAGTATGGTTGGGTAAATCGTAAGGGAAGTAGTATTGTTGTATTGTTGTTATAAATTGTACTGTAGAGTGTACGGGTAAGGGGGGGGTTTTGTGGTGATATCAGAATTGTGGCAGGGATAGAAGAATCGAGGCGGGGCCACTCGAAATGAGGACGGGACGACGGCTGACCTGGCAAGGGCCACCGGTGAAGCGGAAAGGGGACAGGGGTGACGAGGCTTGCCCGAGTCGCATGCATGGAAAGGAGCCCAAGGGTTGGGCGGTGCGAGAGGTAGTTGGCAGACCCCAAGGCACAGATCCACGAGGGGTGACAGGAAGCCAAAACTAGCACAGCAAGGACACCAATTCACTTTTGTTTGTCTTCTCGTAATTGTGGGAAAGCTTGTGATTCAGTTGTGATCTCCATCAAGCTGAGCAACTGCTAGATCCACGCTGGAGAAGCCAGACTACTGCGGCCATTTGTGCCTAGGGAAGGAATTAGCCACTCGCGTCGAGGGTTTCCTTACAAACAAAAGTCATGGCGGGCATGTCACTGCGTAGTGGCGCCAAGCTGTCCGGAATGGGAGAACCACCGGAGAAGGAAGGAGTTCCATCGGGGAACGAAGTGGACGAAAGCCCGGGGGAGAGATCCGATCCCGAGCGAGTAACTGCCCGGAATGACGCCGAGGACAAGGGCCGGCGGGAAGAATGACGCGGAGGCGGTACGACCCCCCGCGGATCGGGACGATTTGCGATGCGCACTGAGAGAACTCAGGGAGAGCGGTCGCCGTCAGAAGAGCAGGCGACGGTGGCGGGAAGGGGCGGCGCCGCGCCAGTTGCCAGATCAGAAGGAGGAAGGGGAGGGCAGATGACGCCATCCGGAAGCGGGAATTCAAGACGCTCGCTGTGGGAGGAGGGGTCACGCTACCGATATACTAGCCTCCCTAAGGTGGAGGTTCCGAGCCGCTTTAGTGGGGATCAAGATTCGGGACCGAGAGTGAAGACCTACGCGATGCATGTGCGGAACGAGAAATACGGATGGGAGATGGACGGCCTGGATTTAAGGCACTTCTTCAGATCCTTGGGGAACACGCTGGCGGGGGAGGCGGAAGCGTTTTACCTGGAGATTAGGGATCCGCTGCTGCAGGAGGAAGAGCGGGACGAGGAGGGAAGATTGCTACGGGACGAAGAAGGGAAGCCCATCCGCTTACGGGACCCGACGGAGCGCTTCTTGCAAGAATTGGCGGCACACTTCCCCACGCAAACGCCGGCCAGGATGCGGGAGTTCGACCAGTTGAGACGAGGTTCACGAGAGTCTCTCCTGGGCTACTATCGCCGAGTGCATCAGTTGGCGGAGGACATTGGCTGCAGCGAACCACGTATTATAGTAGCCAAATTTTTGGACGGCTTGGCCGGAGAGCTAGCGCGGACCGTGAGGGATCGGACATACGACTTGGGTCCCAACGCCACGCTGCGACAAGCATATGAAATTGCATGGCGTCATGAGCAGTCCCTGAGCCTCTATGACCTGGGGAGGAAGACCGATAAGCCGCCCAGGGAGAGAGAGCGCAGGGGAGTCGGCTGGGGTGGGGCCCTACTGGCGGGGGAGGAGGCGGAAGAGGAAGACCAGGAAAGGGATCGAGCCTCTAGGAGTCGGACTCGGAAGCCTCGCAGCGCGGCCCACTCTCCTGGAGAAGAGCCAGTCTGTTACAAGTGCCGGGAGCCGGGGCACTTCAAGAGGGACTGCCCCAAGCTGCAGACCTGTTCCTATTGCCAGAGAAAGGGGCATCAGGCCGATAATTGCTACACTAAGCAACGCGAGCAGAAGGGTCGAGGGGGAAGGAGAGGAAGGATCGAGGAGCTGGAAGAGGAGCTGAGAAGGCTTCGGGCAGAGGAAGAGGACACAGTGGCGGAAGAGGAAAAGCCAGTCCACGTCGCAAGGTACGCGGAAGACTCCGACGAAGAAGGACCGGAGCCCATCTTCATGGCGGCAAACCCGGGGAGGGAGAGGGAAGACTTGGGCCTGCGCAGTGGCGCTACAGACGGCCGAAGGGTCATGGCAACCGTAAGGAGGGGACCGCGAGCAACAGTAGGCGAGGCCGTAGAGGAAGCGGCAGGAGCAGCGGACGAAGCAGTGCAGCGGGCTGTGGCCCGAATGGGGCCCAGGAGGCACCCGTTTGAGAGGATGGCGGCTCGTCCGTGCGTGGTGGAAGCGCTGGAGGGGACGGTAGCAGTGGAAGGGAAGTACCCGGGCACAACAATTATCGATACTGGGGCGTCCCAAGTGCTGGTGGGTAGGCGACTAGCCGAAAGGCTGGGACTGCATCGGGCCGAGAATGTGACGCCAGAAGGAGTAAGGATTCAAACGGCGGAAGGAGGGGATGGAACATGGCTACCAAGAACCATCCGTCCCCAAGAAGTGGTGTTGGCGCCAGGAAGGGCCGAAGAGACCAGAATCCGAGTACACTGTCTGGTATCCGACTCGGAAGACTATGACCTCCTGCTGGGTATGGAGCTGCTCTACAAGGTGGGGGCAGTGGTGGATACATGGGCGGAGAGGGTTACTTACCAGCCGTTGTATTGGGATTCAGAAGCGACCCGCGCCGGAGAAGAGGGAGCCGTCCTACCGGCGCGCTTTCTGCGAGGAAGGGTGGAGTACCGAGAGCCACATCACCAGCGGGTGCCTGAGCAGCGATGGGAGGATGCAGGAGTGTACCTGGAAAGGGCAGCCAGCCGACGAAGAATGGAGGAAGCGGCTGGGGCGAGAGTGGAGGAACTAAGGGAGGCAAGAGGACTGGCCGAACCGGCCTATGACTTTGAAACATTCAATCGGCCGGTACGGCTGGTGGAATTGTTCGGGGGTATTGGCCCGGGGCTGGCCGCCTGTGTCCGTCTGGGCATGGTGGTGGAGAGGTGGACATACGTGGAGAAGAACCCAGAGGTCCGGAGGATGGCGATGCATCATGCGATGATGCTGCACGAGCGATTCCCAGACAAGCTATCCAGAGACGTAGTCGAGCAGGCCCGGTTGGAGGCGGAATGGATGAGTGATGTGACGGAGGTGACCGAGGAGGTAGTAGCAAGCTGGGGGCAAGTGGACCTCCTGGTGGCGGGATGGGAGTGTCAGGGCTTGTCCAGAGCAGGGAGAGGGAGAGGATTAGAAGACCCCAGAACGGCTCTATTCCAAGAATTAATTCGGGTGATGAAGCTGATAAAGCGAAGGCAAGGCCCGTTCTCTTACGTGGTGGAGAATCTTGACGTGGCAGACGATGAGAGGACCTTGGTGAAGGAGGCGCACCGGGCGGTCACGCGGGAGCTGGGCCATGGGGTGGCATGGGACGCAGCACAGATGGGTGCTCGGGCACATCGGATCCGGCGGTATTGGCAGAATATGGTGCCAGAACCAGTACTGAGAGACCAGCTGGGTCGGATGAGACGGCCACTACCCCTGCTGGTGCAGGATATCCTGGAACCGGGGAGGAGAGTGGCCCCAGTGGTCAGCCCGGACACAAGGACGCAGTACCCGTGTAACGAGGTGGGGGCACCACGGCAGGCCTGGCCAACGCTGGTGTCGACCCCGGGGAGCTATGCCTTCACCATGAAGGGGGATGAACCGGGGCCGGGAATGGTGCAAGTGCTGGCGACGGGGGAGTGGGAGGAGCCTCTAGCAGTGGAACGCGAGAGAGCCATGGGATATCTGCGAAACGCGACGGCGGCGGAAGGGGTGTCAGAAGAAATGAGGCAGCAGGCGCTGGGTGGAGCTATTGATCAACATGCCTTGGGATGGTTGTTGTATCGCGCTGAAAAGAGGCATGAAACGCTGAGAGCGCAGCTGCTCATGCTGCATAGGTACAGGGACTACATGGAGATGATGGACACGGAACCGGAAATGGCGATGGAGGTGGCGGCTCAGTGGAGGCAATCGGCAGTAGAACAGAGGGAGGAGAGAGCGCGAGAAGAGGACCAGTTCAACAGTCAAGGGATGGTATTGATGGCGAAGGGAGCAAGGGCGGAGAAGGAGAACAGGGAAGGAGAAGTAGAAGGAAGAGAGGAGGCACCGGTGGAGGGAGCACAGGACGGAGCCGGGGAGTGGAAAATGGGGGACGGTCTTAACGAGGGGCAGAAGGAGAAGATGAGGAGAGTGCTGGAGGCAGCCAGAGGGGCATTCGCATTTTCTGTGAAGGAGTTAGGCAAGTGTAACCGGGCAATGCTGGACATAGAGCTGCAGTGCCCAGAGCCAGTGTACCAGAGACGGAGACGGATGAGTCCTGGAGACCGAGACATCGCGGAGGAGAAGTGCAAAGAGCTGCTGGAGGCGGGGTTAATCAGGGAATCCACCTCCGAGTATGCAGCAGCAACCGTGGTGGCAGCACGCAAAGACCTAACAGGAGAGACGATATCAAGGCGGATGTGCGGTGATTACAGGGGATTGAATAGGGTAACCAAGTGCGATCGCTATCCCATGCCGGTGGTTGAGGAGCTCTTTGACGAGTTGTCGAAGGGACGGGTATATACCACACTGGACCTCAGACAAGGCTTCAATCAAATACCCATCCGAGAAGCAGATAAGCATAAGACGGCCTTCCATGGTCCCGACAAATTGTACGAATGGAATTACATGCCATTCGGCTTGAAGAATGCGTCAGCACGATTTCAGAGGGTCATGGACCAGGTGCTTCAGGACCTGCCGTGCGCCCTCTGCTACATAGATGATGTGATCATCTACAGCACTGATGGGGAGCAGCATGTGGAGGATGTGGCCAGAACACTGAAGGCCATAGAGGCGGCTGGGCTGACATGCCATCCCGGCAAGTGCACCTTTGGGGTACGGACGGTAGGGTATCTCGGGTTCCAAGTGGGAGAGGGCGGAATGACGGTACAGCAAGCCAAGGTGGAAGTAGTGGACCGCCTGCAGCAGCCGACCGACCGAAGCACCCTGAGAGCGCAGCTAGGCTTCCTAAATTACTACAGGAAGTTCATCCCGAACTTCAGCAGGACGGCGAAGCCACTGAATCTGCTGCTAAGGGAGGACGTAGCATGGGAGTGGAAGGAGGAGCAAGATGCTGCCTGGAGGGTGCTGAAGGAGGCAGTGAAAACCGCCCCTGTACTGCGGCTGCCAAGACAGGATGAACCCTTCCTGCTATACACTGACTGGAGCAGCGGGGGGTTGGGAGCGGTGCTGTGCCAATTGGAAGAAGGCGTGGAGCGGGTGGTGGCGTACGCCAGTCGTTCCTGCAGCCCAGCAGAAAGTAACTACAG